TCTCACTGGGGCCATTTTCTTAGGTTAAAAAGGGCAGGTTCAGCAGGACAGTGGTGGCACACCCCTTTAATCCCAGCACTCAGGAAGCAGATGCAGGTCAGTATCTTGAGTTTGAGGCAAGCCTGATCTAACAAAGCACGTTCCAGGGTGTTCTGTCTCAAAAAACAACGACTAGATTCATTCCAGAATTCATCATAAAAGGACTATCAGGGCTGGAGAGAGAGCTCAGTAGTTATGAATACTTGCTGCTCTTGCAGAGTTTGGTTCTCTCTATAACTCACTCCACTTCTAAGGGATCCAATGCCTTCCTTTGGCCCCAAGGGTACTGAATACATATGAACACTTTACACCCACACACATAAAAAAAGGAAGGGAGGGAGGGAGGGACTAAGAGAGAGAAGGAAGAAGGAAAGGGGAAGAGAAGAGAAAGTAAAGGAAAAGGTGTCAGCTGTGGTGACCCATGCCTTTAATCCCAACACTCCAAGAGGCAGATCTGGTTTTTTGTTTTGTTTTGACTTTTAGACACAGATCAAACTCAGAGATCTGCCTGCCTCTGCTGGGATTACAGGCCTGTGAATGAATTCAAGGCCAGCTGATCAACAAAGCAAGCTCCAAGTTAACCAAATGATTCATTCTAATTCATATTCATATTTTCTTTCTTTCTGTCCCTCTGTCTCTGTCCCTCTCACACACACAAATAATGACTATCCTATCAAGTGATGCCTGTAAGTTGTGAGAAGAAAATTCGAAACAGCAAAGATATTTTTAAAAGACTTGATGAGAAAATTCAAAACAGCCAAGATATCTTTAAAAGACTTGATTAACGTGTTTCTTTTTTGCCTGTACATATGTTTGTATGCATGTTTGTATGCATGCATGCAAGCTCATAATGTGCATCCCTGTTTTTTACAGTGGTCAAAAGGTAGTATTGGACTCCCTGAAACTAGAGTTATGGATGGTTGTGAATCTCCATGTAGGTGATGGGAACTGAATCCAGGTCATCTGGAAAAGCATTAAGTACTCTTCACCACGGAAGCAGCCCGTGGAGAATTATGGAATGGAAATAGCCAAAACAGATACTGGGTTTATTTGCCCTGTTTCCTTATGGCCTCATACATGCTAGGGTAGTGGAATGCTACTACCAAGTTAGATCTCTATCCTTATAATAATTCTTACTGTGACACAAGAATCCTCAAATGTCTTTAGTGAATTTTAGAAAACGTGATTTTAGTGGTCTTTAAAGTTCTTTTGTATTACATTTCTGTGTTTTGAGACAGGAGCTCACAAACCTAAGCTGGACACAAACTGGCTGTATAGCCAAAGATGACAGCCAGTTAACTCCTGATCCTTCTGCCTCCACTTCCAAATGCTGGGGTTACAGTTTCTTACTGCCACATCATCTGAATCTGAGTGTTTTATATATTAAAAAAAAAACTGAAAGTTCTCTGACACGTTATTGGGGCTAAGATGATGATTTCTATAGTATGTTTTTAGGGAAAAGGTATGGGAAAGTATTTTTTATTATATTATAAAAATGAGATATTTACTTAAATTTACACTTAAATTTGATCTTTGCCAAAAGGCTGAGAAGTGATTAAAATTTATTTTTCAGACACACCTACGCTAAGTCCTAGGTCTTTCATCTTAGGTACATATGTACCTTACATGTATAGTTAGCAAATGACTTTTGGTTGTTTCATAGTTTGGTACTTCATACTGGGTCCCTATGAAGCAGATCTGCCTCAAGCCATCTAAGCACCTGAAGACTATAGACCTTCCAATTTTACTCTGGGTGATTTACCTAACAGTTCTTTCCCTGCCTCAATTGTGTGTCAGAATAATTTGTGGAACTTTTCCACGGTATGTTTGTCTTAGTCTTGTTCTGTACATTACAAATAAAGTTTGGAGCAGGAACTGGGTATTTAAAGAAAACAAAAGGCAAAATAAAAAGTACTTGTGGAGTACAAGCCTAAAGACCAGCGTTCTTTCTCAGTAATCCAAAACAGTGGTAGTAGAGGTTTGTTTTGTTTTTGCAGTTCATTTTAGAGAAAGGAGAGGATTTGCAGCCCTGCACATTTTGTGTTCTGTTAGATAATACTCTTGAACCTAATTTTGTCAATTAAAAAAATCCTGATTCAAACTCAAACACAGGGAGAGGTTAGAATATATAAAAATACAAGAAAGTTAGCAACAAATATGATGGTTTACAAAGATGTAGATCCAAAACAATATAATTTTGGAAACTAGGCTTGCTTCTCAATTTGAGAAACACTTAAGATTCAGAAAATTTACCAGCAGGAAAAGATAACATGCAAACTAATCATAAAGTATTGTGTGCTTTAAAAATTATATCAAAATAATTCATAACCACAAAATATCTCACTTCCCCAGCTTAGAGACTCAAAGCCAAAGCTAATCCACTTATTATTATTATTATTATTATTATTATTATTATTATATTTGTGTGTGTAGGTCAGAGGGGTGTCAGATCCCAGTTGTCTGATGTGTATGCTAAAAATCCACTTAGGTTCTCTGCAATTTCTCTGCAAGAACAGTAGATACTCTTAACCACTGAGCCATTTCTCCAGCCCCGATACCCATATACATTTCAAATAATTTTCTCTCACCTGCTTTTAAACAAAGAGACTGGCTGCAGTAAAATCCTGGAAATATAAAAACTTTACAAATTGATCCATTTAATAGAAAAAAATTACGAACAGAATGTTTTCATGTGTCCAACTAATCAATAAATGACTGGCAGATCATGACAAACATACCTAAGTAGCATTATTAACATGGCAAAGAAAAATAACTTATAAAGAAGTACCACTAAACTGCTCTTCTAGAAATTACCAGAAAATGTATTTCAAGATCCTGGAAGACAAAAGAACCAAAGTAAATCCTACTGGATGAAGCATTGCACTGATAGTCAGAAAACAAAGGGATCCTCATGAAATGCTCCGTAATTTTAGGATAAAAATGTACTTTTCAAAGTTACAAAGTAAGATTCTTGACCATTCTGCTCCCTCCAGATGTTCTCTTAAAATTCTACCAAGGTCAGCAAACAAAAGGAAGAAACAGCAAGAGAACATTAAGGTAAGAGTGTATTTTTTTGGGGGGGTGGTGATGGGAGTAGGGGGTGTTAAGAAAAATATGAAGACATTCATGTAGTTTAAAAACTGGATTTTTTAAGTGACAGAAAGGGAAACATACTTCATTTCACTTTTGGAACATCAATTTCAAATACTTCCGGCTTTCATTCTACCTGGAACAATAAAGTTTAATAATAAATAATAAAATGAGAAAATATTTTTTTAAACATTAAAAATAATGTTTAATAAAGTATGACAAAGCACGTAAGCTTAAACACTGCAAAAACATGTGTTGGTATTTCTGTATATTTAATACCTACATCTTCCAAGAAATTGAAAGACATTTTGCTGAAGCCAAAATGGCAGTCTGGTGATTCAGTACCCTAGAACCATCTAAAGAGTTTGTAGTCTATTTTTAAGGTCAAGTGTACTGGCTAAAAATCTGCAATCTAATCGTGGCTAGCCAGTCCTTATAATAAAGGGAGCTAAAAAGCTCTACCATATCTGCTGCAAAGTTCCCACATCAGCACACCCAAAATATTTCTTTGTATAACAAAAAATTATACAAAGGGAGATACGGAAGGTTGGTGGTGGGTTTTAAATTTTTTTTAAATTGCCATGAATGCCTCTTCCACCAACAGAAGAAAATTAACCTAAGCCCACAATTCACTTACATGCAACTGCAAGCTGCGGCCTTGAAAAATCCAACTAACGGTGTAACTTCCAAATAATAGCGTGCTTAAATTAAGCACATGGTATCGAAAAATCAACATGCCAGTAGCTGAAGGAACAGTTTAACGAACCGCCCCCCCCCCCCCGCTCCCCACCTACTTAACTATTTCACAATGAATGAGCAACGAGCCGTTTACCAGAGCCCAAGACCTCCCATCACAAGCATGTGAAGGGTTTGTTAGTCACAACTCGCACATGCTAATATTTTCCTTTTTTTTTTTTAATCTCTTTCTCTCTCTTCTCCTTCGGGAGCAGTTAAAAATAGCAAGGTGGTAAGGTCTGCTGTCTCTTGGAAGCGGTTTCGGCAGCAAACCCTCCTTCCTGGCCCGTGGCCGCGAGCAGACCAGAGGGGGGCGAGGGAGGAGGTGCGGGAGCCCGCTAGGCGGCTCGGCCTCCCGGTGGCGCGGGGTCGCCGAGCGCCTGCGGGTGATCGCGGGATGACCCGACGGGCCCGCCGGCCCCGGCGTCGCCGAGGCCTAGCCCTCCCGCTCCAAATCACTCCACCTCAGTAATGGCGTTCGGTGTCAAGTGGAACAGGCCGAGGGCGTCCGCGGCGGTGGTGGCGGCGGCGGCGGTGGCGCCGTTGGTGGGGGCGCCGTGAAGCCAACGGCCCGCCCCCACTCCCCCACCCCGGCCGAGGGGTGGGGGGCCCCGCGCGTCACCGCCGCCGCCGCGCGTTCTGAGGCGACCTCACGCGCGGGGTGGCGGGGTGGCGGGGCGGCACGCCGCGCCCGCCCGGAGCTTCCATCCTCCACCTCTCCACTCCAGTCAGGACGGGAAGGGGAAGGAAGGGGAGGGCCCGAGCCGTCAGCCATTTTCCCTGCCAGTCGAAAACACAGACACACACACACACACACAGCCCGACCCGCTCCCTCACACGGACGGACACACGGACACACACACGCGCTCACGGGACGCCGGCGACGGGTGCGCACAACGGAAGCCAGCGCGCCCCCGCCGAGTCCCCGGGGGGCTACGGCCCGCCGCCCCCCCCCCCCCCCCCCCACCGAGGGAGCCACCTCTCTCTCGCTCGCTCTCTCGCCATCACACCCGCATACCCCTCACGCCGCCCTCCCCACCCCTCCGGGCAGCTGTCGGGCCCGGTCGAGGCGAGCGTGGCCCCCCGCCCGCCCGCCTCCCCGCCCCCCACCCCGTCGAGGCGCCTCGAGTACTCACCGAACACAACCCCGGGTGTCTTCCAAGAAGCGGGACAACGCAAGCAGGAGGGCGGGATTCGAAGAGAAAGAAAAAAAGGAAAAAAAAAAAGGAGGGGTCCAGCCGAAATGAGAGGCCTAAGCTGCTAACCTAGGAGCATCCCCAGCCGAGGGCTGACTGAGGAGGAACGACACGCGAAAAATTGAAAGGAAAAAAAAAAAGGCAAATCGGCGGAGGCCGCGGGCGCCGCCGGGGCTCGGGGCGCGCTCGGCGTCCGCACAAGCGGTCCGCTCCGGGCCCTGGCCGCCTCCTCCTCCCTCGCGGCCGGCGGCGGCCCTCTTTTCCCCCTTCTCCCCCTCGGGCTGGGGCGCTCTTCTGCGCTCACTCCAGCTCCGGGCGGTGCGTTGCTCCTGCGTCACCTCCTCCTGCTCCTCCTCCTGCAGCGGCAGTTTCACCTTCCCCTAGTCGCCGCCTCTCTGGGCCCCCCACTCCGGGCCTGCTCACTCGCCGGAGGCTCGTCGGCACACTCCCCCCCGTTACCTAACCCCAAAAAAGCAGCGGGGTTGGGGGGGGCGGGGAGGGAGGTCAAGGCAGCCGCCTCCCGGTGAAGGGAGCGGCGCGGCGGCCGGCGGCTCCCGCGAGGCCCTGGGGGGCGGGAGGAGGGGAGCCGGTGCCAGGCAAAGGGGAGGAAATGGTTCTCCGGGGCAGAGAGGAACGGCGGCCCCCGGGACGGGCCCGGCTACACAGGGGTTGCGGCTCCGCAACGGCGGAGGCTAGCTTCCGCGACCCGGGCTAGCTCCCACGGCCTCGTCAATATGGCGGATCCAACGAGTCAAAAAAGACAAAAAGAAAAGAAAACCCGCACGGCCAGCGGTGGTGGTGGCGGTGGCGGCGGCGGCGGCGGTGGTGGTGGTGGTGGTGGTGGAGGCGGTGGTGGCGGCGGCGGCGGCAGCGGCGCGGTGGTGGCAGCGGCAGCAGCAACCACGACGGCGGCAGCGCAGACTCCCACTAGTCCCAGCGCCGCCCAAGCCTTAGAGCTTCTCCGCCCCCCCCCGCGGGACCGCCCCCTCGAGGTCCCGCCCCCCTCGTCCCGCCCCCTCCCTTGTCCAGCCCCCTTGTCGGCCGGCTGGCCCCTCTCTCCTCCCGGTACACCTCGGCCTGGTAGGGGAGCAGGAGGAAGGACGATGGGAGCCGCCAGGGGGCTGGACAGGCGGCAGACGCCTTGGAACTCTGCGAGCTGGGTGGGGGAAGGGAAGACAAAAAAGATCGTTCGGGCGGGGGGGGGGTTGGGGGGAGCACCCGTACCGTGACTTCTAGACGGCCCCTGCAGGGGATCATGCGGGAGCCAGAGACTCTTCCAACCCTTCAGCTAGGGAGCCCGGCCGAGAGCTGACGATGGCCCTAGCACACTCCGAAGAGGAGGGCGGGGTGGGGGAAGAGAGACAGGCCGCAGGAGAGCTGGCAGGCGGCACGGGCGAAGCGACTGGACTGTGGGGAATGGTGGTGGTGGGGGTGAGGACAGGAAAGGGTTAACCGCGCGAGCCGCAACCGCGTCGCGGAGTTTGACTAGGGCTGCTTGTTTTTGTTCCATTGTGAACTATGGCCCCGCCTCCCAGTGCCCGGATGGTGACGTCACCGGCCTTCCCCCCCCTCTTCCGGAATGGTGCGGGGGAGTGGGACGGAAAGACTTGATTCCTGGGTCCCAGCGCTAGGCATCTGCAGCCCGGGGGTTGGAGGGTCCTGACACGAGGACAGGACTTGACCCTAAACGGTGATGCCAAATCCCCGAGAGTTTGGCCACCTGCTCCCTGCCGATAGGGGGAAGGTGTGGCTAGAACTCCTTCCGAGTTGGGGCCTTCTTCCCACTCTGAGGGAGGCGCTTTAAGCAGCTCATTCACAGGGTCCTGCAGCATCAATACCTGAAAGCATTTCGTCAGCCTTAAAGGCACCATGACTGAGGACATTTTGGACACAAGAATCCTTAAAACAGTAAAGACAAACATTACGCACCGTCCCTGACAGCCTAGCTTCGCAGTAATACTAAATGAAGCAAAATGAATTTCTATTGCCATATCATCAGCATCATTCAGTGTGAGAACCCGAAAGGATTTATGAACCCATCCGCTATGTAGGGGACTATTTTCTGCATATTGAGAATCCAAAGTGCAGGCCGCAGAACAAAAACTTATCAGAGCAATCTCGAACGTTGATGGGGTTGGAACAATTCCATGCTTTACCTAAAATAAACAAATGAAGAGGAAATAAATACAATCACTGATCTACCACATTTCATTTTGACTTCAAAATGCCGGTTTGCGACAAATCCCAAGTAAAATAACAATTCTGTAACATCCATTATAGTTCATCTAGGACTGTTGAACTTATTCTATAAAAACACATTCATTTCTAATAAAGGAGTGTTAAATGGAATCTCAAAGAATTTAGGTGACAGAGCACATTTTACTGATGTAATTTTTTAAACCATTTCTCTATGCAACACGAGACTGTTTACAAAGTTTTCCCCACAAAAACTAGTAGTATACCCTAAACACAGTAGTTATAGTCCTTCTAACTCTTAACACGTGTAATTTTGTTTGTCTAATTACTTCCGTGTATGCTTTCCCTTGCTTATGGGGCCTCCAGAGAGATTCTACCACCCATGTAACTAACACTCTAAATTGGTAAGCATATGGTGGGTTTTATTTAATCCCCAGAACCCTCTGAAACAGCCAGGTATCTATTTCCAGTCTTGATGTTAGACTGGGAAACAGAACTGGTAAGTAAATACAGTTCTTTTAGCCACAGCTAAAGTGCATCTTTAACAAAAATGTCCATGGTAGCCAATTCTATTCAATATTATACTTGAGCCTCTAGCCAGAGAAGGAAAAGAAATGAAAGACATCCAGATAAGAAAGAAAGAAAGCTTTCCTTGCAAACAACATGATGTTACATAGCGAAAATCCAAGGTCATCAACTATAAAAACAACAATAATAAAGCTAACACATGATTTTTAACTAGACTGAGGCTATAGATCTGTCTACCTCCCCTATCCTCTTAAAAAAAAAGCTATCCCATTATACCCTATAAATATGATTACTATGTGTCCACTTAAAATAATAACATAACCCTTTTTGGCAACCTAGAGAATGTTAAAAAAAAAAAACTCTGTAAACCATTAATCTAATAAAGAATTAACATCCACAACATATATAAAAAAAACTCAACAGCAAAACAAACAAACCCCTTCAATATAGAAATAAGCAAAAGGGTCTAGCGTGAGTTTTGGGACAGCCTGGTCTAAATAGTGAATTCTAAGACAGCAAGGACTCCACAGAAAAACTCTGTCTTGGAAAACCAAAATATAAAATAAAAGCAAAAGAGGCTAGCGAGACGGCTCAGGGGGTAAAGGTGATTGCCGTCAAGCCTGACAACCTGAATTTGATCCTTGGAATCCATAAGGTAGAAGGAGCAAATGGGCTCCTCCAAGTTGTCCTCTGATCTCTTGCATGCATGTGTATGTACACACACACACACACAATTTCAAAAATGTAAAAAAATAAGCAAAGGAAACTGGGTGTAAGGCAGTTGCAGTTGCCTATAATCCCAGCACTCTGGAGGCAGAGGCAGTGGCAGAAGAATCTTCAGTTCGAGTCCAGCCTAAGTTATACAGTTAAACTATCTCAAAAAAATAATAATAATGATATTAAAATTTAAAAATAAAAATGGGCAAAAAATGGGCCAAATATATGAATAGCCAATGAATGTATGAAAAAAAAATACTTAGCATTGCCATTCATTAGAGAAATGCAAATCAAACCCACATGAGATAACACTTTATAGTCATTAGAAAGACTACTACAGAAAAAAAAAAAAAAAAAAAAACTAGCAAGCAAGGAGATAACAAGTGTCAGCCCCAATGCAGGGAAATTTAAATTTTACCTCGTTGGTGGAAAAGCAAAATGGTGCAGCTGCTATTGAAAGCAATGGGGCAGAGCCTCAAAAAGATAAACAGAACATCTCTACACCCAAGTTCATAGCAGCATTAGTCACAATAGACAAACTGTGGTGCCAACCCAAACGGTAAGGAGATGAGTGCATAAATAAAATGTGGTACACATACACAATGAAATGTTACTCAGCCTTAAAAAAGGAATGAGACTCTGAGAGACACTAGAACGTACACGAACCTTGGAAACATACTAAGTGAAATAAGCCAGAGACATAAAGCTCCCACGTGATCTCACTTCCATGTGGTACCTAGGATAGACAAGTTGATAGAGAAAAAGGAGGAAAGAGGCTGCCGGAGCACAAGAGGTGAAAAGGATGAGCACTAGGGTTTAATGAACAGGAGATTTCTACGGAGATGACAAAAACAAAGAATTGGGCAGTGGAAAATGGTGATGGTTGTATAATACTGTCCATGTACATAATGCAACAGAACAGTCCATTTAAGGTAATCACGATGATAATTTTATGTATGTTTTATTCCGAATTTTTAAGGGTGGAAAGCTGGGGGTATAGCTCAGTCATGCTTAGCACAAGTGAGGCTCTGGAGTCAAGTCTCAGTACCTCCATCCAAAGAGGGAGAAATTCCCATCAAATAGTGCTAATCTCCTATGGGAATCTATATATCACACTCTTACCAGTATTTCTAGTCTTAACTCTTAAATTCTCAGGCTACTCCCCTGGAGGTAGTATACACTTGGCTCCTTGGGTGGGCATGGATACACTTTGACATCTCTCATTCAGTTCATGAGCCAGGCAATGAATAATACTGAGTTAAGAGAATTAAGAACTCAGTGGCTGGCTCTTTGATCACCTCCCCCTGAGGGAGGGGAGCAGCCTTGCCAGGCCACAGAGGAAGACAAAGCATCCAGTCCTGATGAGACCTGATAGGCTAGGGTCAGATGGAAGGGGAGGAGGACCTCCCCTATCAGTGGACTTGGAAAGGGGCATGGGAAGAGAAGAGGGAGGGTGGATAGGATTAGGACGGGCTGAAGGAGGGGGCTACAGCTGGGATACAAAGTGAATAAACTGTAATTTATAAAAACATAAAAAATATTTAAAAAATGAAAAAAGAGAGAATTAAGTTCAATGCCACAGTACAACTGAAATGAAAATTCACTATAATTCAGCCCTTTTTTCTCACTTCCTTTATTTTGGTTTCTCTTTCCTAACAGTTGTCCTTTCACATTGAAGACTAATTTTTTTTAACTTCCTGGTTTTTTCCCATTAAGACAGAATCTTATTATATCCCATTTCCTCATAAAATTTCCCATTGCACTCTGTCCCCTCTCCACTCTTCCCCAAGAAAATATTTGCTAAGTATATTCACTGCTTACTAGCACATATCCTAAAACACTTCTTGAGGACAAATTTCAAAGAAGCTTTGTAGGCAAGGGGTTAAACGTTTCTCCCTATAAAAACATTTAGAAATGGTCTGTCTATCTTGCTCTGTTGGTGCCTGTCAGAAACTAACCTACTTCCAGTCAAGGACTTGAGTATGAAATCCAGCAAGAACACCTGGCTTTGGATCATCTCTATATCTCAAGGACAAACACGGGGCTCCAAAGGAGAATGTGCTATACCTGCCTACTTGAGAGAGTTAAAGTACATATTTTAATCTTGGTATCCACACCAGCAATCACCAGTGAATATCATAGCCATTACAAGGAGAACATCAAGGACAAGCTAGTGAAAGACTTTTATCAAGTCAAAGCATATTTAAGTTTAGCTATTAAATAAGCCTTGAGAGTTTACAGTTCATATACAGAAATGGATGGTTGTCTCAAATTTTACAATAAAACCTTAATATATTTGATATTAAGTCATGAACAAAGATTTCTAAACTATTCACAACAAAAAATGACATTTTAATCAACTATGTTTTT